GGGGCTGTTGTGCCTCTCCCTGACCCACGGGGAAGGACCCCCCCCAGACCCTCCCCGGGGGGGCCCTGCCCAGGGAGCAGAGCAGGCTGGTGCCAGTTCAGCCGCGCTGCTTGGAGGAGCCACGGGTGCACCCTGGCTGCCAGGCGCTCACCGCCGTGCTCTGCTTCTGCCACCGGCGCTGGAGCTGCTCTCACGGTCCTCTTCTCTTCCTAGGCTAGCATGGTGCACTCGTTGATCGAGGCGTATTCCTTGCTTGACCACATGAAGTAAGTGCTCCCATTTTCCTCTCTGCTAAGGTTTGGAAGATGCTGAGTAACTGCAGGTCTTGTACTGTCCCTGCTGGCAGCATGGTTACAGGAGCCCACGCAGTGTGTTTCTGGGATCTAAGGAGGGTCTGCTTGTCTTGCCAAGTGGACAAGATTATGGTAATTATGGCAAGTGTAACTTATGGTTACCCTTCCTGGCCCGACGGAGTCCAAATTGTCTTGTGCTTTCTCTGCAGAGCACACTGTCGGCTGCTGCTCTTGTGCTCCAAGCAGAAGCAGTGGCATAGAAACCATCCTCGCTGGTGCTGCTCGGAGTCCACTGGCCAGTGCTCATGCTGGGAGAGACCATGTTGTTTTGCTGTGTTGTGATTGATTTGGGAGACTTTGTGAGATCTTGATGCTGTTCAGGAGGGAAGACAAGATGAGGTCTGAGACAGAAGAGTGAGAACCCTCCTGCCCCATTTAGGCTCTCGACACTGGGGGATACAAAGGGAAAAAAAAGCTTAGCTCAGCCTCTCTTATGCTGCATATCATAAAATCTTAAAAAAATCCCACACTTTTTAGGACCAGAAAGTCCTATTGGCACTTTCTTCTAAAGGATTTTTCTTTCTGGTCATTTTGGTAGCATGTGCTGGGGAAATGGCTGCAGGTACTGTTACAGAGGGAGACCCAAAGGGCTGTTCACCCTGGTGTGGGGTGAGAAGTGCCCCGCTCCTGGGCTAGCCCGTAGCTGGGAGTTTCTTGCATTCTCCTGGTAGCAGCGGAGCTGTGCTGCATTGCCTGTGTGAGTCCTGAGGTTTGGAGAGCGCTTCAGCATGTCACAAGGTTATTTAAGCAAATTGCAAAGTGCCCAAACCCAGGAAAGGTGATGTGTGAGTTGCTGAGGACAGAGACAGTCTCTGCTTTGAGTGCCCGCAGAGTTAAGAGCACATCAGACGTGCTGCTCAGCCCCTGACCCAGCAGGCTGGTGTCCTGCTGCAGTGCTGGGCTTGGCCTGGGTGTTTTCGCTCTGTTATTTTTTTTCTGTGTGTAACCAGAATGTTGGATCTGCTGGAGATTGCTCAAACTGGGAGAACATGCAGAAAAGGAAAAAAAAAAAAAACAAAACTTGAAGGAAAGTGGAGAGGCTAACGCAGGCAGCACTTGCATGTGTTCTTCATTGGGATGGGCTCAGCAGAAGGTGACAAGCTGGGGGAAAAGCCTGTCCAGCTCAACTGAGCAGACGTCTCACTCAAAGCACCAGTCTGCTGCAAGAGGAGGAGGGGGTTCCGTTTGCTTTTTCAACAGTAACTGCCAAAATAAGGCTCGTAGTCTGAGGACGTTAAAGCTGAGCATTCCAGCCAAACCCTGGAGCCTCTCATCCTGACTGCTCCTTTCCTTCTCTCTGCCTAGGATAGTCAAGCCAAAAGTGGCCTCCATGGAGGAGATGGCAAGCTTCCACACAGACGCCTACCTGCAGCACCTGCAGAAGGTCAGCGAGGAGGGGGATGATGACCATCCGGAGTCCGTGGAGTATGGACTGGGTAAAGATGTGTATCTTCAGCAAGAGATTGACAGAGTGTCATGTGCTGGAGCTGAGGTTAGACAGAGGGGTGAGCTCAGGATTGCTGGGCTGTTTGCGGAGGGAAACAGTCTTTGATGGGGTGTACTGAGCTCCGTTATCCTGCAGTCACCGGTCAGGCTGGCATTTTCGCTGGTGCCAGCAGAGGGTACTGTCAGCCTCACGCTGCTGCTCCCAGCAGCTCAGCCTGTCTCTTACATACCCGGAGCCAGTGTCTTTTGCTGCTGCATTGAGGAGCTCAGACAGGACAGAAGGCCCTGACATGCTGCCCTTGGAACAGAGCTGAGACTGTCTGCCACAAGCCGCAACCTTTGGGCGCGTTCCCCTGCTCCGGCGCGGGGTCCTCCCTGGGCTGCCGGTGGATCTCTGCTCCACTGTCACCTCCACGGCTGCAGGGGCACAGCTGCCTCAGCACAGGCTGCACCACGGCTGCACCACGGGCTGCAGGGGAATCTCTGTTCCGGCTCCTGGAGCACCTCCTCCCCTCCTTCACTGCCCTGCCTGCCTGCAGGGCTGTTTCTCTCACACGTTCTCACTTCTCTCTCCTAGCTGCTGCACAGCGTTTTTTGCCCGTTCTTCAATACGCTGTCACGGAGGCGCTGCCAGTGTTGCTGACGGGCTCCACCTTGGCCGGCGCTGAGTCTGTCCTGGAGCCGTCTCTGTCCGACATGAGTGCAGCTCCTGGTGTCTTCTCACAGAAGCCACTGCTGCAGCCCTCCTCACTACAAAAACTGTGCCACGCAAACCCAATACAATTTTTTTCCTATTTACGCCCCCTCAATCTGCTGTGTGAGTCCAAGTCCGGTACCTGTTGTTAGAGTTTTGTGCCTGGAGCAGACAGTTAGAGCCGGGGTTAAAGAGAGAGAGCTCAGAACAAAGAGAATGTGCTTCCCCCAGAGGAAAAGGCCTCTTGTGTCTGACACATGGACTCCTACCCACAGGTTACGACTGTCCAGCTACCGAAGGGATCTTTGAGTATGCGGCAGCCGTGGGAGGAGCCACCATCACCGCGGCCCAGTGCCTGCTGGACGGCAAGTGCAAGGTAGCAATTAACTGGCCTGGAGGGTGGCATCATGCAAAGAAGTAAGAAAACAATCTCTTCCCTTGAGTTTTCTCACCTGGTGTCTGAACCCCACCTCCTAGCTCGCAGCGTCTCTGCGAACCCTCAGGGTGTGGCGATCCAGCTGTAAGAGAGAGCAAGGTGTGAGAGTGGTGAAGGAAGGCAGGAGGCAGATAGGGGAGAAGCAGAGCGCAGGACAGAGGCCTGAGAGTGTGCTGGCTACTGCCACGTTACAGGTTACAGCCCTGGTGCTGTCGTGGGCTGCAGCACGAGTCTGGGGCAGATGCATTCAGAAGCGTCCCGTCGTCCATTGATGCATGGTTGTCTCTGGGAGATCGAGTGAGAATTGATTTTGCAAAGTCCACAAAGAAGAGAGGTAAACAGTTGGTGTAGCTCCCAACTTAGAAGAGAACGGGAAGGTGGCAGCACGTTGTCCAAATTGTTTTGTGTGGCTGTTTTTGTTGCTCAGTGAGAGGTTTGAAACAGTGCAGGACTGACTTCTGGTTTTCCCTGTGCTCTGAGGGTGGCTGTTTGCTCTGAGCTGTGGTGTGAATTATGATTTCCCAGAACAAGAGGAGAGGAAGTAAAAATTTTGTCCCTGAATCCTCTGATTCTGTAGTGATAAAATAACTTGTTTCCATGGCTTCCCTGTTTTCCATGGATGTATGTTTTATTTTAGCTTGTGTCCACCCACCATCTCCCAAACCACAATGCAAATGCAGATGAGACAGCAGCCTCCCTTGTCCCCAGGTAACTGGCCTTTGCAGCGCCGTTTGGTTTCCCTGCGGAGCCCCAGAAATCAGCATGAACCCCGTGTCTAACCCTAACAACTTGCACATGAGCACACAGCTTTCTCTTCTTGCTCCAGTGACTTTTCTGACCTGGCAGAGAAGCTCTGGAGGTGCCACAGTGGTGTGCAAGCTCCAGCCACGGCAGCGTCTCACCAGGCCCCTTTTCCTGGCCAGGACGTTGCTGAGCAGGGGTTTGGTCACAGCTTGCTGAGAAAGGAGAGAGCTTAGCTTGGCTGAGCTGAGCTGAGCCCTCTTGCTCTTCGCAGGAGGGATCGCTTTTTAAAAATCTTCTGTTCTCTTTTATCTTGGTTGCATGGTTTATAAAATGCCTGTAGCAAGAAATCTTAGCAGTGTTGCTGCCACTGAGCTGTGCTGTTAGCACTGTTCTGGGAAGCTAACAGTCTGTTCAAAAAAGGTGTTTAATGCTTACTGATCCCGAAGGAGCCTTCCCAGTCACCCCAGTGAGGTGGTGCAGGATGCTGCAGGGTGGGCAGCAGCAGTGTGAAAGTGCAGCCAGAGACCGACCCGCGGCTGCAACTGTCCTAGCAAAATACCTGTCCTTGTGTCAAAAGAGACGTGCTGTCTGGTGGCTTAGGTACTTTCCAAGGTCATAAAGGTAGGAATGGTGCCCACTGTTGCCTGGGGCTTTGGAAGCTCCCGGTTCACTGGTGTGCCTTTGGGGCAGAGGGTGAGAGGCTGCTGGTGCCTTTCCTTGGCCCAGTGCTGCGCCCTCCCAGCAGCCACAGTATGAGCTCTGCTGCGTGGGTCTGTGGGGACTGGGGAGGATCTCAAGACCTAGCCCTGAGCTGCAGCTCTGATGCTGGTCAGCCTCTCTCTGAGCTGGTGTCCTGTTTCCTCTGGTGTCCCGGTGTCCTCTTTTGAGTCTGAAAGAGATGGTGCATTAGGGCATGGGGAGATGTAGTTCGCTTCCTTCTGGGCTGGGAAGGAGGAGAGGAGTTTGGTGTGTAATCACAGTTGAGGAAGATTCCCTGGATACCTGCGAACATCCCAGTTCTCACCATCACTGTAAATTAAGAGAGTCACTGGGAAGCATCCGTGACATTTTCAGGAGCAAGAGCAGTGCCATTCTGACACCCTGGGCTTGCTCCTCGCCGTTTCCAGCTGTTTGCTGAGCAAGGGAGTGTCGGGAGGAATGAGCCCAGTGCTGTGGCTGAAAGGCAACAGGCATTTCCAAGAGGCACATCTTAGATGCTGGATTCTGGGGAAGAGGGGTTTGGACACTCCTGTTGCAGAGGATAAAGCTTTGGTTTAGATCTGCTGCCCAGGGCTGACCTGAGAGCGTGTATGAGCTAGTGCCAGGTGGTGACAGGGGCTTTGAAGCAAGTCATGAGTAGGGATTAAGAAACTTTCGTGTTCCTTTAATGCCAACAATATGGAAGCTGCCCCCAGATGTATGTCAGGGACAAACCTTTCCATACAACATCTGTCCTACGCTCAGCTGCCGGGGCTCTCTTCTGGCTGAGCCCAGCTGCTGTATTATGAGGGACTGCACGGGGGAGGAAGGGAGAGTGTTGCTTCGGGGCAAGGCTTAACCTTCATGCCCCGAGACTTTGGAACAGAGCAGCAGAGTGTTGTGACTGCCTTGGACCTGCCTTTCACACCAGGACCTTCCTGGGAGCTGTGCCCTGGGCAGCAGGGATGGAGCAGCTGCCTGGCAGGACTGTCCGGCGGCCTGTCCTCCTGCTGCAGAGGGAGAGGAGGTTTGAGCCATGTGGCTCTGAACTTCATCTCAGCTGTGGAAAGATAATGTTTTATTTATGCAACAGAGAATGGTCAGAGGTACTCTGCCAAGCCCCCCGTGGGTCGGCGCCTCTCTGCAGCAGAGCCGGCTGATGCTTTGCCTGCTGCCAGCAAGCCAGGGTTGAGAACCAACTGGCACAAGCAGTCATGTTCTCTGTGCCTCCCAGCCGTGCTTTGAGCTGCTCCTGACCCATCCCTTGGTCGCTGCTGGGGCTTGGCCAGGCTCTTCACCCTCCTCTGTGCCCCGGCGAGGTGGAGACCTGCCAAGTAGAAGTGACAACGCCAAGATCAGCGGCGATTTTGTTGGCATTGTTCAACCTCACGGACATTGTTTTCACAGAGATGAAGCTTCTGGCTTCTGTTACCTGAACGACGCTGTCTTGGGGATCCTGCGGCTGCGCCAGAAATTTGACCGTGTCCTTTATATTGATTTGGATTTGCATCACGGGGATGGTGAGTCCCAGCGCAGGCTGCAAACAGAATGGCCACACAGACTCGGGGGCAGGAATGGGGGAAGCGGGGGCCGGTCGCGGCAGTAGGGCTTTGCCTGCTGCATCAGCCGTGGCTTTGCCTCCTTTCTGTGCAGTCAGGCTCCCTCAATCCGTTTCTGCCTTCTCCTGCTTTATTGATTTGCCCTGTGCTGCTCATCAGACCTCTCTTGAGGGTCTGGGCAGCAGTCTTGTACCTAAAGCAACAAACAGTGTGTTCCCCTTCCAGCAATCTGCTGCCAGTGGCTCTCCAGCAAGGACTTCCCCCAGTCCCTTCTCTCCCATCCCAGCAGAGCAGCTGCTGACAGCGTTTAATGGCTTAATGCCACCGGCGGAAAAGGGAAGCAGTCAGTGGTAAACGGTGCTTTTAAAAGAAGCCTTGATACTGTAAAACTAGAGCCAGAGCTGGCCTCGCTGAAGCTGCTCTCTCCTTCAGGGAGATTATTTCAACACTATTTAACGTTTCCTGCTCTCCTTAATTTTACGGTGTGTTTCATTTTGCTCCGTTTTCCCCCCACATTTGGTTTCTGTTAAGTTTCCTGTCACTTCTTTTTCCCTCCCCACCTGCACTATTTTAATATGTCTTTAAGGAGAAGAAAAGGTGTGTTGAACTGCAGCAGCACTGAGAAAAAGTGAGAGCCCGGTAGCTCTGGTTCTAATCGGAGCCAGGCTCTGTCCGAGGCACCTCTGCTCTGCTCCCTGCCCCGGCGCTCGGGCGAGCGCTGCTGGCGCGGGCGGCAACCGGAGGCGTCGAGAGCCCTTCGGTGCTGACCAGCATGAGACCTGCGACATTCATTTCAGTTGTGACCTTTGCTGCGGTTTAATTCTGGTCTCTGTTGATTGAGAATGGATTTATTGAGCCACGTCTGGTTCTCCGCTCTGTTCGTTCCGCCCCCGCGCTGCTCGCCGCCCCGTGCTGGCAGAGGGCTGGTTTGTGTGGTCAGACGCTGTCGTTGGTGGCAATGGTGCATGAAAGCTTTCTTCTCTTCCCTTTTCTGACAGGAGTTGAAGATGCCTTTAGTTTCACCTCGAAAGTCATGACTGTTTCTCTGCACAAGTTTTCGCCAGGATTTTTCCCAGGCAAGTTGGACGTGTGAGGTTTGTGCTAATTGGGTTCCCGCACGGCTGGCGAGGCCCCAGTACGGGCCCGTCCTGGTCCTGCTGCACAGCCAAGGTGTCTCGCTGCCTCCCCTGCTGACCCAGGAGAAGGAGAGAGGGGGAACCGTGTGTTTGGCATTTCCCCCTTCCCTCTGCTCTGGGCAGAGCCCTGCTGGGCGGCCGCCGGCAGCACTGGAAAGCTGCAGGACAGAGCTGGGCAGAGGATGAGAACCGGCTCCATCCAACCCCTCCTGTGCCCATGGTGGCAAGTGGACTTCTCCGTCAGCATGACGAAGGTCCCGGCACTCTGCTCTCCTCTGGGACACCCTGCACGTTTCTCTCGCTGCTGACCCCTGTCCCTCCCAACCAACTGTGGGTGTTGCTGTTTTTCAGGCACCGGTGATGTCACGGACGTTGGCCTGGGGAAGGGTCGCTATTACAGCGTGAACGTACCTATTCAAGATGGCATTCAGGATGAGAAGTATTACCAGATCTGTGAAACGTAAGCCCTCTCGCTCTGATACAGTTTACTTGGATGAGATTTTAGAGAAGGGAGACTGCACAGATTTTGTTTGTTTACTGTTTTTAATTAAAGCCCTTCCTTAAGGCTTGTCCCTTCCCCCATTACGGTTTTTTGTTACAATGAACATGGATCTTAAGAGGTCTCAGAGGTCTTGTCTGAATCCCTAGGCAAACTGAACATACCGAGGCGTTTGTGGGCGGCTGGAGGGTCTCTTTGTCTGTACAAATAAACGGAGGAAATTTGCTCTTGGCATCTTGGAGCATGCGCACTTCGAACTTGCCTCTCTATACATTGCAGTGCTTGTGTCTGATTGCTTTTGTTCTAACGGATAAACTCCTCTCCTGCTTCTGAGGCCGTGTGGCACACGGGTGGTTGCCTGTTGTTTCTGGAAGTTGAATCTCATGGGCTCCACTTCAAGTACTCTGTTACTAAGAGCTGCTGTGTGGAAAGGGGGCCGAGGTGTGACGTTATTTATTGATTTTCTGGAAAGTCTGATGCCTTTACAATTTTGAAGACAGTGGGTGGAAAGTTTCAGAGCTGCCATGAGAGTGGCAGCACCAGTGGTGGAGGCTGAGTCTCTGGGTTGTGCTCTGCTCGTGCCAAGATGTGTCTGAGGCGCGTTCCCACCAAGAGTCCTCTGGGAGCCTCCCTGCTCACATAGTCTCTCCATCAAAAGAGAAAGTTACGATGGGTCTGGCTAATTGTAAGCATCCAGAATAGCTGATTTGCTTGATCTCCTTCCAAAACTGTGATGAATGAAATTAGTTCTGACAGTATGTCAGTAACTCTACCTGGAGTTTAAATATGAACCTTTTGAAGACTAAAAAAAAATGCAATATGTGAGAAACATTGCAAGTGCAGAAAAGTAAACTTAGAAATTGTCCAGAGACATTCATAAAGCATTATTTTTGCTCCCAAGACAAAGAGAAATCTGAATTATTTTAAGTGGCTGTAGTAGTTTGCTTGATAAACTTGCAATTACTTATGGCTGAAAGAGATAACTAATCAGGTATTTGCTCTCCCAGAATGTAAAAAAAAATTTTTTAAAAAATTAACCAAACTCACCCCAGAATCTGAATGCTGCCTGGCCTGTCGTTCTACGTGATGCAGCGGAGCTGCGTTAGCTGTGTGTAGGCATGGATCTAACGAAATCCTGCTTCAGCAGCTGCACGCTGCACTGGGACAGCGCGATGGGTCCGCTATGGGAGCAGCTGCAAGGCGGGGAGAGACCTTTACTGTGCTCATGGTGCATCTCCATGGAAAGTCAGTTGTCCAGCTGGGGTTGGTCTGCCGTGGCAGGAGGTGTATTGGGCGGTCCCGGCTGGCCCGGGAGCTCCGGCGCTGTGGCTGAGCTGAAGGGGTGCTGCCGAGGGGGGGAGGGGTCCTGCTGCCACTGCCTTGTCCTTGGCTGCCCGCTCCTTTCACCTCTCTTCCTTGCTGTGCGCCAGTTCAGAGAGTTAACCTAGCAGAAAACTCGCCCTGATAACCAACTTTCTACTCGTTCAGCTCTCTGAAACTGCACATGGTGGGATTGGAGCTCTGTCATTAGCCAAAGGAAGGGGCTGGGAAGGACAGGGGAGAGGACAGCCTGCGGCTGTGTGGTCAGTTTGGCTTTGTCATCAGCTCAAGCTTGTGAGCCTGCATGCGTTTAAGGGTCTGTCAACATATGGACGGGGCTGAGACTGCAGAGCAGTCCTTGTGCTGACTTCCTGAAACAGCAGAAAGAATTACTCTGCTCCTGAGCGCAGCGTGGGACGAGAGGGGGCTGAGCCACCCTTACACATTAACAGAGATCCCAGCAGCTACGGACAAACGCTGTTCTGTCAAAGAGATGTTTATCGTTTAGCGAGTGTCTGCAATGTGCTTTGAAAATGGAAGGCCCTGGGAGAGGGTGAATTTTGTTTGAAACCCCTCATGCAGCCAGCAGAAACCTGCAGGGTTGTCCTTGGCAGAAGAGACTTTGGGTCTGCTTCGTGAAGGAAGCTCATGCTGATTTGACTGCTCTTTCCTTGGCACTGCAGTAGTCACCATCTGCCTCAGTTTGTGTAGCTGGCTGGGACTGTGGACAGCGTGGCCTGGTCGCTGTCGAAACACGAGTGGTGTGAGGAGCTGTCCTGCTGGCACCTGGCGTGCTGGGGCCAGGCTCCTGGCACGTTCCGGCTGTGCTGCCATACCCGCGGTGAATACGAGACTGAATGGAAATACTGTTTTCCCCCAGGCTCACATATTTGGTCTCGAGGGGGCCAAGTTTTTTCCCAGAGTTTTTCTCGTCACCGGTCAAGTTTTCTCCCAGTGTTGCCCGTATTTCAGTAGTGAATTCGTGGCGCTTGTAGAGCGAATGGCCTCAGCCCTGCAGGCATCTGCCTTGGCAGACCGCACCGAGCTCGGTGGAGTTCCTCGGTGGCGGCAGTGATGGGTGAGTTTCTTGGGGTGAGTGCTGGTAAATGCAAGCTCTTTGTCTGGGGGAGGCAGCTCTCTCGTTTGGCATGGCAGTGGTTTCTAATTGCATATCAAATAAGAACTGGCGATGCTTAGGTTCTCTTAACGGAGGCAAAAGCATTTGTTCCAGGGATCACATCTGTTTCTACTTTAGCAAAATAAAAACACTGTTGTGAAAGGAACATGCTTTTTCTCCATTATTTGCCTTCTGTTTTGGGCTTTGGAGCGCAGTGCTGGGAAAAGGATTATTCCCTTTGTGGTGTTTGTAGTACTAAAAATCTCCTGGAGTGAAGGCAGTTGTCTGACATGCCCAATTGTCTTCTCCAAGAGGAAATACTTAATAAACCCTCCGGGACATTGGCACTGCTGCACCCCAGCATTGGCTAGCGCCGAGGGAAATGTATTTCTGCCTTAAGAGCCGCATGGGGAGAGGAGAGCGAGAACCTAGACAGAGCCTTCCTCTGTTCATCTGGTCCTGTGCTGGCGAGAGGTGTCTGAGCGTTTAGGGTTGTTATTTCATGAGACGCTGCTCTTCACCGTGACTTTAGGAGGGGAGAAGAGTCCCCGGGTTTGGCTTGCAGCCCTTCCGCTGTGGGTGGCCGATGTGAACGTGTGGTTTGATGCTCCCACTGTGCTCGTCAGGACTGGATCCCCCTCCACTGTGTTCTCAGTGATGCTTTTGCCTTCATCAGCTTCGTGTTGAGCGCTTTGAGAGCTAAACTTACTGCAGGAGAGCAGTGGAGGCAGGCGGCTAATGGGGAGCAGAAGGGGTGTAACTGGCATGAGGGGGGTGGGAGCAGAGGACGCGGAAACCTCAGAAGGCATCGGTGGACCTCAGGGACCGGGGCCGTGCCGCCAGCATCCCTCTGAGCCACATTTGCGGTGGCCCCCACCGCCTCTCCTCTCCGCAGCGTGCTGAAGGAGGCATACGCCGCATTCAACCCCAACGCGGTAGTGCTGCAGCTGGGGGCAGACACCATCGCCGGAGATCCCATGTGCTCTTTCAACATGACACCCAAGGGAGTGGGCAAGTGCCTGAAGTACGTCCTGCAGTGGCAGCTCGCAACTCTCGTCCTAGGAGGAGGTGAGTGCACGCAGGTCTGACTGCTCATGAGGAAACGGGCTTGTCCTCCTGCAACCCTTCCTCGAGCTTGTGCCGTGGGGCTGGGCACTGGTTGGAGCTGGGCAGGGTGACTGCTGGGCACACTGTGGTGCAGAGCTGTGTTCACACAGACCTGAAATCCTTGATAATGAGGTGCAAGTCTCAGTCCTGACCCTAAGATGCTGAGTTAAAGGCTGCTCGGCTCCTTTGGAGAAGAGCAGAGGCTGCTAACCCTGATGAACTGACCCTGGCTTCTTGCTGGCATCTCTGCTGAAGAGCCCCGCGGCACTTCCCTGTGAAGTGAGCGCTGTGTTCCCAAACCTACCTCGGACATCTGGCAATTTTCATCTGGATTCAAGCAGGGGCCTGGGAAGAGGAGTGACTCCTGTACGGTGCAGCAGGGCTCTGACACCCAGCGGGAGCTGAGGTTGCCTTAGCTCTGCCATGCTGTGTAACCAGCTGCTGGTCGGGAGGAGAGCACAGGACGAGCTTCATGCCACAGAGTATTTCAGAGCAACAAAAGCCACGGTGTGCCAGGGAGCGCAGCTCTGTGCCTGGAGCTGTGTCAGCTCTAGCCATTGTCCTTTTTGAGATGGGGGAGATCAGGTATAGCATGTTAAGCCTAAAATTTGATGTGCCTAGTGCAGTTTGTGTTGGGAAGGTTATGAGTCTTCAATCCTGCTCTGGCATGTATAGGGGTATGCTGGGGATGGCACCTTTCAGGCAAAAATAAACCACAAATTTTTGTCAAAAAGTGAGGTACAACTGTTTGTCGCTTGTGAAGACACCAAAGGAGTGTCCCACCACTGCAGCTTGTGGAAGCATTTGACGTGCAAACCGGGGAAGAGTCAGTACTTGCAAAAAAAAAAAAAAACCAAAAAACCCCAAAAAACCAGAAAAACCCCAAGCAAACCCACAGAAACACAACCCAAAGAGAAGGGAACGCTGAAAAATGTGGTCTTCCTCTCTTTTCAAAGTGGTATTCTCTCTTACTATTTCAGTCATCTTTGCTGGAAAAAATGTTCTTCTGAGTCTCTTGCGGGATTCCTTTCAGATGAGGTTTCTCCTTGGGGGCTCGTGTTAGACCATTACCATACTGACTGTGAAACCTCATTTACTTGTAAAGCAGTCGCAAGTCGTACTAATGAGCTTCATCTTTGTCATCTCAAACCTGACAATGCTGCAGAGCTCATCAGCAAATGTCTGGACACGTGTATTACGCTTTATGGGTCCAAGGCTGGCACTGAAAGCAGGGATCCCCCATCTCCACTGCTTCCCTTGCACTTTTCTCCTGGTTCCTTTGAACCCTCCTCCTTGCCAGGAGAGAGCCCAGCGCGTGGGGCTTGTGCTGGGTCTGGGGTGGTGACTGGAGGAGCCTGGCTGTGCCACGCTGGGGTAACTGGGGTTCAGTTTGGGAGGTCTGTCCATCATACGGTGTCATTCGGACCTGACCTCGTGTACCCAGCAGGTGCAAAATGCATTTTTTGGGCACAGCCTGAGTGGGTGAAATAAGCTGAATTAACGTAAACTGCATGTGTTGTCTCTGCAATTTGTTTGTTCCGCTAAAATCTCTTCCTCTCTCTCCTCACTCTCCCCCCTCCAAAATCACAATTCTTGCTGGAGACAGGAGGCTACAACCTTGCCAACACAGCTCGCTGCTGGACATACTTGACTGGGGTCATCCTTGGGAGAACGCTGTCCTCTGAGATCCCTGATCACGAGGTAAATCTTTGACAAACCCTCCCGTCTCCTTGTGCGAGAGCTGCGTTGCTCTACCTAATCCAAACCGCATCCTTGCTGCTCAATATTGTTTTGTTGAGACGCTCCTGTAACAATAGTGCACTGTCCTAGCAGCATAGTGGGTGCTTGTTCCCACAACCCGAGGCTGTTTGCATCTTTTTGCAAGGGGTCTCAGGTACCAGTAAACTCCAGTCTCAGATAATTGCAGAGAGGACGGGGAGGGGGAGTCACCTGTTTGCTCAAAGAGCTCTTTAGGACGTGCCCATACTTTTGCAGGATAGAGCCAGGCATTTGTTTCTCAAGGCTTTACATTTTAACCCTGCTTTCGTTGACTTACAGAAAGTACCAGGTGCAACTTCAAAGCTTTTCTGACCAGTCGTCTCGCGGTGGGCCGTGGGACGGGTGCTGTGCACGGTCGCGTGCAAGCTGTCTCGGTTCCAGTGCTGGCGCTTGTTCAGTCTTGGGCAGGGCTGGACAGCTGGTTGGTGCAACACAGTCGGGACTGAATTTGGGTGGAATAACTTGTAATAGATCTCAAATCATAGATCAGTGTTACTGCCTCTACAGGAACAAACCTGCACGTGCAAAGCAGTTCAAGCCTACAGTGACTACAGAGGAGAATTATGGTTTTGCCTTTGCTGAAGCGTCTCACAGACCCATAGGCATGGGGAAGTAAAGCGTTTGTGTGGATTGAAACTGGAAATTCATCATTATAGAAACTGGTGATTACAGATACAAGATGCTTTTTGAGAGATGTCATGCTTAAATATGATCCTTTAACCATGTTTCTGCAGAAGCAGGTTTTGAATGAGACTGGATCTTCCATATATGTGGGAAGTGAAAAGGGGGGGTCCCTTTGTAAAAATTAACTGCTGACGGTGGTTAGGTTTGGCCAGTTTGTTGTTGCTCTGATCAGTTTGTTTGTTGTGTTAATTATTTCTGCACCAAGTACCGTGAAGGATATAAGAACAGTGTGGGAACGAGTGGATTGCAGGATGTCACAAGGTGCACAGTGGGGCACTGCGTGCTCTGGCTGCTCCTTCTCAAAGGCATTTGTGTCCCCTCCTGGTCTGGCTGGCACTGTGGTGCTGCTGGTGGCCTGCTGGGGTTCCCCTTACAGCAAAACGGTGCTTGTGGTTTTGTTTCTGGAGACAAGATGAGCTGTTCAGGGTTCACCCTGGAGGAGCAAGTTCCCAAAGATCAGCCAGCATGATTTCAGGGTTGCTTTCAAATGCTAGACTTGCTAGACTGTAACCTGCAGCGTTTAGGAGACACTTCATTTTCCTTGTCAGCACTGGCGTGTTGAGATCTGCTTAGAGAAGCCCTTGTTGTCCCTGCTAGTGCAGATATGTCGATCTTGGGTTGTCAGACCTGCCACCTCCAATCTCATCCTTTTAAAAAAAACCCAGCCCTGTGCATCATTAATCACTTGGGAGACTATAAACGCTGTGAATTTCCCTGTCTTTGGTACAACAGCTTTAAGTCTGGACTAACTCTCCGTGGGCTGAAGCTCTCCAGGGGTAGCAACAGGACCAATTGCAGCTTCACTGCTGAATTTTTAACCTCGGTGTGTCTGCTTCTTTGCTCAGTGCTGTGTGCTTGTGAAATAAAACTGCTGGTAATAATCTGTGATTCTGCATTATTGTGTAGAACCCACGTGCTGCAGATTTTCTTGTTCAGGCTCAGCTGCACACTTGTGGAGCACTCAGCCAGGAAAGATGCATTATTGACCTTGAAGCACACTGATTTTTCTCCTTCCAGGTGTTTCACAGTCATGTCAATGCAGCACTCTCAAGGTGGGGCAGGGAGCTGAAAGGAAGAATATCTGATAGGCAGCACTTTAATTTAGTTCATAAAAAAGTTGGATTTGTAGGTAACCATGTGTAAAATGGGTGTCAACGGCTTTCCCAAATAAAGTATTGATAGACATGAGACTGCTTTTCGCTGCACCACGGAGCTCTGCGTCCCAAGCCCTTGAACTGGTAGCAGTTGCAAACTTCAGGTGAAGCACCTCTTTGATGTAGTTAAGCTACACGTGCCCCTCAGGCGAAGAAAATGATTTTGCCTTTTTACAAACAGGTGCCCATAGGGAGCCCTCCCTCCAGCCTCGGCTCGCCATAGACCTCTCTGCTGACTCTCCTCTCCTCTTCCCTGCAGTTCTTCACAGAGTATGGGCCTGATTATGTGCTGGAGATCACACCAAGCTGCAGACCAGACCGCAATGAGCCACAGAGAATTCAGGAGATTCTTAACTCTATCAAAGGTGAGTTATCCAAGCCAACACCTCTGCTTCAGGCTTACGGGTCTTTTTAGACAGGCCTTCAGGTAGGCTCGTTGGAGTCTTTCTCACTGACTGGAAAGATGAACCACTTACACATGACTGCTCATCCTGTACAACACCGTGTGTCTCCTGCTTCGCTTGGAATTCTTGGTAGCACATCAGCTCAGAGCTGTGGGTTCCTGTTAGCAAAAGTTGCCATTGCCTTTCCTCTGGCTGGGCCTCATCCTCGTCAGACTCATAGAACAACCCAGGCTGTAAGGGACTTCAAAGATCATCTGGTCCAACCTGCGTGGGAAAGGGAGCCTACCTGGATGAGATTCACTAGCACCCTGTCCAGTCGCATCTTGAAAACCTCCCATGATGGGGACTCTGACACATCACTGGGAAGGTTGTTCCAGTGATTGATTGTTCTCACTGTAAAAAATTTATTTCTTGTAACGAGATGAAACCTCTCCTGGTGCAACTCGTAGCTGTTGCCCCTTGTCCTCTCCGTGTAGCTCCTTGTGAAGAGAGAGCCTCTGTCCTCTCTGTAGCTGCCCTTCAAGTACTGGAGTACTGTGATGAGGTCCCCCTGAGCCTTCTCTTCTGCAGGGAGAAGAGACCCAACTCCATCAGCCTTTCCTCACAGTACTCCAGGTGTGGCTAACAAGTGCTGGATAGAGGGGGATGATGCCATCTCTGTCTCTGCTGGTAACGCCCCTACGGGTGCTGTCCAGGATCTGGTTTGCCTCCATTGCTGCAGTGGCACTCTGCTGGATCATGTTCAGCTTGCTGTCCACCAGGACCCCCAGGTCCCTTTCAGCGAGGCTGCTCCCCAGCCACACAGGTCCTAGCCTGAACTGGGCTCTCTGCTTATTCTGTCCTGGGTGCAGGACCTTGCCCTTGTCTTTGTTAAACTTCATACTGTTCTAGCTTGCCCAGGTCTCTGTGAGATGGCTCTCCCTTCTGATGTGTCCACCTCTGCACCCAGTTTGGTGTTATCAGCAAACTTGGTGAGATTGCTTTCAGTCCCATCATCGAGGTTGTTTATGAAGATGTTGAGCAGTGTAGAGCCCAGTATCAATCCCCGAGGGACCCCACTTGTTACAGGCTACCAGCCTGAGTAAAAACCATTGATCACCACTCTCTGTGTGCTCCCTGTGAGCCAATTCCTTCCCTACCTGCTTTGCAGAGCACCCGTTTGATCTGTATCTTGCCAGTTGGTCCAGGAGGAGGCTGTGGGAAACAGTGTCAAATGCTTTGCTAAAATCCAGGCAAACAACATCCACTGCTCTCCCCATGTCGATGGGAGATGTTATTTTGTTGTAGAAGATGACCAGATCAGCCTGGCATGATTTGCCCTTGGTAAATCCATGCTGGCTTTTCCCAGTCACCTGCTTCATTTGGTTTGTAATAGTTTCTAGGAGGACTCGTTCCATGGCTTTCCCAGGGACTGAAATAAAACCAACGTGTCTGTAGCTTCCTGGCTTCTCTTTTGGGCCCTCCTTGTAGGTGGGTGTGACAGTTACCCTCTTCCAGTAATCAGGGATATCCCCTGATCTCCAGTATTATAGACAGTGGCCTGGCAACAATGTCAGCCACTTCTCTTAACATAGATTTATGTGGGTTGAACCTTTGCAAGAGGTCACAGACCACCCATCCCTGCTGGTGGGTGGACACATGCATTGTCGTAAGTACGTGTTCCTGTGGTCGGTGGTCCAGCTATGCCGGCAGAGGCAGAGGTAGAGAAGGTACTGAGAACCCCTGTCTTGTCAGCATTATTAGTAATTGGTTTCTCTGCCCTTGTTAGCAGCTGTCTTGTGTCTTCCCTGGGCTTCTCCTTACTGCTCACGTATCTGAAGAACCCATTCTTCTTGCGTTAACTTCTTCATGTTTAATAAAAATGTCACTGAACACAAGAGTGGTTACTAACGCCAGGAGGGTGTGTGGCTCGCTACGGCAAGGTAGGCTCAGTAGGTGTATCTCTAAGCACACGGTAAATGTGCCTGTGAATCTGCATTTCTAAGAGAAGCATGGCAGTTGGTTTTATATATCCTTTTCCTGGTATCTTTACCCAGGTTCTTGGATTTGGTGGTTTCTGGGCAGGAGCAGCTGGGGGCAGCAAGACAGGGCTCAGCAGCCCTTTTCACTCTCTGTGTTGTTGTGACGTGTTGGTGTTAGAAGCAGAGTAGGAGGAGGTGGGTGGGAGATGTGATGGCTGTGGGTGCCCTGGGGTGTCCATGCCTGAGCACAGGCCAGTCCTAGGGAGGGGGTATCCCTCCTGTCCTGCCCGGGATGGGGGGAGGAACAGCATCGCTCTAGAGCTGGGAGGGAGGGATCTATGCTGCACACTCCTGGCAGCACATCCGGCCCAGAGGAAGGACAAGGCAGCAAAGGGTGAGCATGTGCCCCGCCTGGTGCTGGCCCATGAATCCCAAAACACCGATCAGGAGAAACTGGTAGCAGAAGTGGTGGCAGGATCACCCTTTGGGAGTTCCCAAAGTCTGTCTTGGAGTGCAGCAGCCTCTGCGAAGGGCGCGAGGCACCAGCAGGGACCGGGGTCTGTGCTGAGACTGGGATTCCTGTATCACTGCCTGGTCTGTCAGGCAGTAGGGGTGGCACCCCTGCCCAGGCCATTCTGTTGGGCTGAAACATCAGTGGAAATATCTTTTTCTGCCTCTAATTTGCAGGGAACCTGAAGCATGTTGTTTAGCAGAGAAGGAAGGCTCACGTTTCCACAAGAGCATTTCCCATGGGGAAGACAGCATGTTTATGTGAGCAGCTGGTGAAATTTGTGGCTGCAAGGAAAATTTGGAAGAAATTACTGTTAGTTGGTTGATTTTTTTAATCTTTAAAGAAGAAAAGCTGCTGCACACCACCAGCACCGTGGCTCACCCTTGGCAGGAGTGTGGGCCCCCAGCCACAGCCTTCCAGGGCCAGCAGAGCCTCCCTTGCTCCTTTTCTCTTTCCTTTTCTACCACCACAGAGTTTATTCTCACAAATGGTTGTAAATGTTTTTTAAGAGCGGGGCTGCTCAGAGCTGTGAACCCTCCCAGCCAGAGCCCAGTGCGTCACCGCCTTCCTGGCAGGAGCACAGCCTCTGAGCTGCGCCCCCAGGGAGAGGCGCCGGGGCCCAGGACACGGGCTGTGCCTCTTACCCACAGAAAGGCATGGCCATTGCGTTTTTAACTGGGAATGTTTTTTAAATAAAGTATTTGAAACACTCCTCCAGCCCTTTCCTTTCTTCCTTCGCCCACCCTGCCCTGACAGTGCCCTTTTTCGCAGCACTTCATGCGTTCAGCGGAGGTCCAGCCAGCGCTGGAAAGCAGAGATCTGCAGTTGCATTTGTGACCATCCCGTCCAGCCCCATCACATCAGGCAGCAGAGACTGCCCCCCTCCCCCTGCCCCGGGTGATGAGTGGGCTCCTGAAATCCTGCGTGGAGGGGCCAGACCCCAGGGATGCTCTCCAGAGTGTCAAGAGAGATGTAGGGCAGGGTGGCAGCTCCTGTCCAGGGAGATCTCAGATGAACCTCCGATGCCCCAGCGCCCCATGAGGGCCACCACTCAGCATCTCAGTGAGGCCTCTCAGCAAGGGGACAGGTACTCTGATTCCAGGGGCAGATCCCTCCCCGTGCCTTGGGCTGTGGAGCCTGGCCTCTGCTGCCCTCGTCCCCTCCTTCACCTGGCCCACGCAGCTTTTATTTGTGCTGTGTCTGTTTAAAGATGTACAGTCACTGTGGGAAAGCATATTTCCTGTTGCTTTAATTAGATTATGCTGGAATAAATAGCAAGACCAAGGGACTCCCAGCCTGGCCTGGCTTTGTTTTCATCTCTTGTTTTTCACTGCTAATACAAACAACAGGAAATCCAGCATGGAGGGAGTTCAGCTGGACGTGGCTCCCCTGTCCCCATGAATGACTCCTGACGCTTTCCCTGCTTTGCCCCATATGCCCCCAGCACCTGCTGTGGTGGGGCAGAGGGGACCGGCCTTGTGCAGTGACCGCTGGCAGGAGGCTGGCGCTGCCACCAGCACAGCAAAGGCTCTCAGTGCCCAGGGAAGATGTCAGCCCTGGCGATCATTCAGACAGGAGAAAAGTGGTGTATGAGAGAGCAGAGAAGCTGGCGAGCTGCCTTCTCCAACCCACCTCGGAGTCCCACGTGCTCTGTCTTTGTGCCAGACCCAGACTTCCCTGCGAGGTGCTGGAGCTGCTTCAGGAACACAATTGGGAAAACAATAGGAAATACACCAAGTGTCAAACATGGTGGCACTAAATGGGGTTTAGGTGAGGTACAGGAAGAGCTGCACCCAGGCATGGGACTGTAGGGATATGGCATCCTAAACCAGGCAGGCTGCCCACCCACAGACAGCTGGGGAAACTGAGGCACGGGGTAAAGCACCCGCTCTTTTGTGTCTGTCCACATCCCCAAGTACGGAGAGACAATTGGAGCTCAGCTGCGTGCAAAGCCAAGAAAAGTGCAAAAGGTGGGACAAAGGCTGCGGGGTACCCCTAGTGCCCCCTCAACAGACCCCCCCCCAAAAAAAGAAATCCCCCTTCAGCCAGGTGAGGGCACCAGCCCTTTGCCAGCCCTGGCAGCAACTGAACCCCCTTCTTGTCCCCCACCCTGGACAGGTGTTACAAGTGTGT